CTCGACGGGCGTGAAATTTCAAAACTTGTCGAGGAGTTTTTACAAATTGAGCTTTGTGCGTGCCAAGTCTTCGGTTGCGAGAGTGCAGCTGACACTATATACACAAGCAAACGATGGAATATGTTGTGATCCGCCTCCTGGTGGTGTTCTCTGGTATAGTTTGAGTAGCCTGGGCACCTACTCCACTTGGGAAGGAGACATCTCAGATCATATTTCGCGCGGAGAAAAGTTGATGAATGACGGAGGCATGTCTGGATAACTCAGGGTTTTCACGGAAGAGGGCTGACTTGGGGTGAAGAAAAAGCCGCCATGACTTCGCAGTGGTACTTGCAAATGAAATACGAGGCATGAGTGCTCTTCCTTTACGTTGAATCATCTATTCTGTTCTTTTCTTTGATATTGTGTCATAGCTAGTTAGCTGCATACGCAATTAAAATCTGATGCAAAAAAAAGAGCCCATAGGGTGCCAAATCAGGATAGTGAAATCAAAATCAAATATACGGGAGTATTATCAGATCACGCGTAAAGGGCCAGGGTATCTGGAACAGGCAGTCTAGCTATAAAGCGCCGTAGCTTCCCTCTCCTGAACTCCTCATAGAAAATAAATATACATTTCCGATTTCCTCTACAGCTATGCCCATTGATTGTTTAATGTACTCATGTAATGCGTATCGAAATAATTTAGTCCTTAAGCTCCTGATAATTAGTACGACCCACATTTGAGCCATAAATTAATATGAGCTTGCATAAAGTCATATAGTTTAATCACTGAGTTTTGCCTACGAAGCTCTTGCTTCCTTGCGCAGACTAAGATCATTACAAGATCCTTGACCCTTCACCGGTGCTGTTCTAATCGTTCAGAATGCTTCGCATGTCCAGGTTAGCTAAGATGAAGCGCATCAGAATCGAAGTTAAAGCAAACACAAGAATATCCATAACCGAAGCTTTCTCCTTGTTGTTCATCCTACGATTCTCACACAAGTCCTCCGACTCCATCTTTTCACAACCTATCTTACCTCATCGACCGACCAAGGAGCTTGCCTCATTAATTACTGGCCATCAAACATTGTCAGATTTATAACGCTTAGTGTACTCGTAAGGAGTAAACCAAGTCATAATTTACAAAGTTCAGGTTTTGACTGACAGGGGACCTTTAATCCAACAAGGCTTCAAATCTTGAGTGAAGAGAGAGACGGCTCGGACTTGGAATAAGAGAGGGAAGTGTTCACAAACGAGTATGCTGGATTGACGTTTTTTCGTCGGTTTTCGAGTTTGGAATGTTGTGGGCGTTAAAACAACAGCTTCCGATAATTAGCCAGGAGGACTTTTGTCGTCGATGAGTCTTCAGCACTCATCAATACCCCAGATGACACAAAGAGGTTGGGTAAAGCTATTATACAGCATACGCGCTCTGTTGAGACTTTTCAGACGTTTTATCACGATCTTCGAAGAAGTGTTGGAAGGAGGATAAAAAGAGAGAGTGTATTTTTTGGGTATATCTAAGTCTGCAGCGTCAATATGACGTACTTTACCGAACGCTTCAGATAGGTAGCTATATCTCTGGATGTGGTCCTGATGTCAGTATTAGGAGAGCTCCACACCTAGTGATTTTTGCGATTTTTTCCGGCTGCCATACGCTCGTAAGTAGACATCGTTTTGTTGGCTGGAGAGGAGATATGATGAATTTCGAATGATTCCTTTTAGTGTACGATCGAATGAGGACTTGTGAGAAGTGGTACTGTTTGAGGGGAGCCGAACAGGAGGTACAGGATGGCATACACCACCCGAGTCAAAGGCATTCTTACCCTTTAAGCAGAGGGAACCTACATGTTCCATATATTCATCAACTGAAAAATGAAAATAATATAATAATAATAAGATAAGTGGGCAGGGAGTAAGTTTGTCCGCACCTATGCCACATTTTATAGGATTCAGGCAGCAACAGCTTTGACACAGCACGAAGTCATGCATTATCAAGAAGTCGATCAAATCTAACAATTTTGTCTTCGCTCAGAATTTAACTTTACACAGAGTCTACCAATATAAATGCTCGGCGTTCGACCCAGTACTGGGGAGACGTGAGAAAAGTCCTCTCACATGTCCAAGTAGAAATCAACCAAGGGGCGCATTCTAAACTCACATCTTCTTGACATAGTGGTCATCAACCCTTTTTGGCTGCAAATTTTGAAGGTAACCTCTAACAAGATCGCTGAGATATTCTCAAGTGCCATGATGAAGCAAAGTATGGATCTCATTGGTAGCATAGCTAAACTGTTAAACTAGGGCCAAGGGCATCTCGGCTTCGACCTTTTCTTCGAACCTCAGGACTCCTAGTAAAGAGATTTATGTTCAGATTTTAATTGCGTATGCAGCTATCTAGCTAAGACAAAATATCAGATATAAGGTACATAATAGATGACTTAACTTAAAATTAGAGCACTCATGCATCGGATTTCATTTGCAACAATCACTGCGAAGTTGTGGTGGCTTTTTCTTCACTCCAAGTCAGCCCTCATCCGTGAATACTGGGGGACTATTTTCAACACCTGTCAGTGGTTTCCCCTACGAGCCTTCAGCTCTCACTGTAGAGTACGAAGCCGAGATTGAGTAACATCTTCGTCCTCACTTCGATGAGGATTCCCAATCGCTTTCGCGGTCTACATCATCTTCGTCTCTCAACACACCCCCATTTCACAATTATCATGAAGCTAATCATGATCAGATCAGACAGTAGAGTCGAAATCCTTCTTGTCACAAACCCCTGTTCATGGAGGAAAAGCCATCAGATGAGTTTGTGGAGCGTATACAGTATCCGAAACGGAGATGGTGGATTGGATCAAGTCGGCATCGATTGTTTGTTTTGTTTATTATTTTACGTCGTGCCAGCGCGCAACACGTTTCCCAAGGCCACATGCCGGTTAGCTCAGTCTAGAAAAACTACCCGACGTGCCGACGCTCCTAAGATCCCGGCATAAACTACCTGGGCCCTCGCCCTCCTGCCAGTTGCCTCTAACTAAAAATACACCAAAAGCACCCTTACTCTGGGTCTTCTGTTAACTATTCTGCAGACAGAACTAAAATGTAAATCTACATGCTAGAGAGGAGGAATAATCTACCACCGGTACAGACAGAGCTACTAGTACGTGTTTGAGCCCCGCTAAATAGTTAGTTAAGTTGGTCTCGATTACTACATGAGAGATTTAGATGGATATGCGCACCTCACGTGGCCCCGGTGTCTAGACCTCTTTTTTAATTCATATTTTGAATTTTTGAATTTGATTTCAATTAACCCGATCAGGCACCCTATGGGTCCATGCAGGTGACTATCTGCATTATTTACAAAGGAGGAAACCAATTTGGTTAAAACCCCCTGATCCTGTCTTTTTATGTTCCTATCAATTTATTTGGGTTACCTTCAGGAAGTGCAGTGTACACTGTTCAGCCCGTGTGGATTCCGTCCTCTCCCCTTCCAGATCTATTTACTTTATCCGACATTGCTACCTCGACTTCTCCTGCCAGTCGAAACTGTTTTATCCACCCTTTATTTAGTATCCACTGTGTAATTCTGGCCATATCTTCTGGGCTGTTCATCATTGCTTCAAATGACCTGTCTTTAGCTTGTCGGAGAAAGTCGCCTCTTCCATTTGCCCACTGCGGACACGCCAACACCACATGCTTGACGTTTTGCGACGGATATCCACATTGACAGCTTGGCTTTTCTACTCCAGTTACTTTTCTTCTGCTCAGGTAAGAATTGAGTCCGATATGCTCGCTCCTTAGCTGAATGGCGACACTGCTTTGGGCCCTGGTTAGGTTACGGTGGATTCTTAAGGGTGCATCTTTGAAGTTCATTTTGACGCTGCCTGTTTGTTTATCAGTAAACATATTTGCCGCTTTCCAATGTTCTGGATCGGATTTTAATTCATATTGTATTCGGCTATAAAGCTATGACAATTTATTTCTAATTTACAGCAAAATATATCCTGAACTCTTTTCTTGCGCCTATCCCATGATCCCTTCTGTTAATGTCTACTTGTGTCTAGACCTCGTCTGGCTAGGGCTGCAGGTTTTTTGGGACTTTTTCCCGCGCACGCAGTTTCCATTGCTACCATTTTCATTTTTTGGTAGAAGATTCCATGGAAAAGGTGGCCGAAATCCATGAGTAAATACTGAGGTAAATATTTATCTACCATGGTCATGATTTAAGATATCTTTAATCGTAAGAAAAGAGGATTGGAGCATTATACAAGGCTTGGCCTCAGTTAGAGAAAAAAATTAAATTAAAGCCCCTAAGGAGTTTGACCATCAAGGGTATAAGGATTGTTCGCTGGAGGAATTTCTTTGGAGGAGAGCCTAGTAGAAGAGAAATCAATGGACTCAAGTAGTCAAATAAATCAAACATATCCAAATTCGAACTGGCCGAAAAGTGAGACTACCATCTCAGGGCCATCACACTAATTTCAAATAGAGCTATCACAAGCGCAATGAAAACTTCAATAGCATTTTTTATGACATGTGGAAAATATACAGTTTTGATTAGATTAATAGCTTATCACTGCCAAGACATGATTTTATATTTAGAGCTAAGAGTCTGTTGAGTTAATATGCATAATAGGATGACTCATGATCTGATTACTCCAAAATAGCACCATGATCTTTAAATATCTTTTAATATCATTAAAAACCAGTCTCTTAATTTATCCTATACCAAATTTCTACCCCTTAGATCTCTTGGGTATGACCCTCAACACCTATGGAAACATGGATTTTTCTCTAATCTTTATATGCCCTTTTTTGAGTTTAAAACGATGTAGGACAAACCATTTAAAAATGTCATATTTTTTAAATCCTAGTTTTGGTATTCCTTTATAGGAACTGAACGACATGTCCAAATTAAATCACATTTAATAGAGCCAAAGTTATATGAGATACTCCCCGAAGTCCTTGATAGTCTCAGACTCAAAAATGACTCTCATAAAATTCTTGTTTAATTCCGAAATCTATTTCATGCCAGAAAAATCCAACTTGCGAGAAACCTTGGTTCCTCTCTCATCATCTTTTAAGATCCCATAATTTACATTCAAATTCTCCAAGGGACCTTTCTCTAGGATATCGCCTTTTTTAGGCAACTCTCCTTTCGGCGTCGGTTGCGGGTCTGCCATCCACCAGCTGTTTTGTAGTGCTTTTCGAGCATTAATTCTCTTCCTTGGATCTAGTACCAGCATCTGCATGAGCAAGTCTACTCCTTCTTCACCAGCTGTTCCAAACATGTTCATGTACATTTCTTTTGGTTGCAAGGGGAGAATCTCGGCTACAGTATATCCAGGTAGTTTAGAAACCCCGGGCCAATTATCGTCTGTGGGTGTCCCAATTGCTTGACATATAATCTTGATCTGCATAACTTCTGACTCACCAGCGAGATATGGAACACGGAGAATTAACTCAGCAAATACAAGACCGACACTCCAGATATCAACAGCTCCAGAGTAGTGCTTAGCACCGAATAGTAGTTCAGGAGGACGATACCATAATGTAATAACATTAGATGTCATGGGCCTATAGGGATCGGCAAAAGATCTTGCCAATCCAAAATCTGCTAATTTCACTTCACCGTCCGCGGCAATCAATAAGTTATTAGGTTTAATATCGCGATGCAGCACAAAATTTTCGTGACAAAACCAAACTGCCCGTATGAGCATACCCATCCAAGCCTTTATATCTGCAGCACCGTAACGTATATTTTCTGTATCCTTAATTAACATTTCGAGATCTCCCAATGGTAAAAACTCGAGGACAAGATTAAGGTTTTGATCTTTGGAGGTGAAAACAGAAAGTAACGAGATAATATTTGGATGCGTAAGTTCTCGTAGATGTTTGAGTTCTCGTATAGCATCCGGAGCGAGGCCTTCGGTATATTCCTTTTGAACTTTTATCTTTTTGATGGCTACAAGCGTACTGGGGGATAGCCGTAGATGGCCAAGGTAGACGTTTGCGTATGTTCCTTCTCCTAGTTTTTTGCCTATTGCCTGTAAGAATAAGAAGTAAAGATTTGTTGTAAGTATTACCTTTGACGTATTTATTTTTTTCATCAATATTCATTTTTTCGGCGATATCGTGGCCAGTGTTGCTGGCTTGAAGATACCCCATTTCCGGTGACTCTTTTGGAGGTTATGGGGTATTTTTGTGGAAGATTGGCTAGCCATCATACATCGGAGTGAAGCATACTTAATCCCATCGTATTTCTGGTTTTGTGGCAGTGATGAGACCTTAGATGGATTGAAAATTGGCTGACGCCGTCACCGTATCAAGGCAAGGTGACCCAAATTTGGTTCTAGGGTGATGTAAGTGCCAAGACAATTATTACAAAACCGCAAAAACGACTATCTACATCACCTGTATGGCAGTGGCAGCCGTGTGCGCCAGATTTTCTATTTCACATGTAACTATGATTTAAATCTCTAAATTCGTGTGGACAGTCTACATTCTTTCACATCGAAGTTCATGTTTTCTTACCAATACGAATAACACAATCAATCTTTAGCTTTATCCAATTTGATAGTATTTTAAGGGAGTTAACTGGGTGTAGAGGAAAATCCGAAGTTATGTGGGGTATCTCATACTGGGTATAATTGTGAGGCTCTCTACCTGAAGCCCTAAGTCTAATTTTGATTCCAGATATTCCCTGTAATCGCCGGCTCTTGTTGGTTAAGTATGCTGTTGGGACTTCTTCTGCATTGGATCAGCAGGGGTAGACCGCATTATGTGTCAATGGACTCCTCTCAAAAGATTGCATACATCAGCGACATCGGCGCCGATTCTCTAAAACCATTGTTCATCGCAGGCTGTGCCGCTACTACTGTCTTTCTAAACCTATCCTTTTTTTCAGAACGCTTACTGCGCCACAATGGTCGATTGATAAGGAATTCTAGTACCTTTCAAAATGTACTAGTGTGGCTCAGTATTGCCTTCTCATGTATGGGTTCTATGGGACTCATTCTATTAAGCGTTTATGACACTATAAGTCATCCCGAATTACACGATATATTTTTAGCTTTATTCATCTCAGGATACATAATCAGCGCTTTTATGATTTGCTGCGAGTATCAACGCCTTGCTTACCGTATGTAGCCTGTCTTTATCTCCTGGTCCTACAAGTGACACATTTGACTGAAATTAGAAAACCATGAATACCGAATTCTTGGCGCCTCTTTTTGGCTGAAGTTAGCATTTACGGTAATAGAACTATTTGTGGCAATTGCTTTTGCCTATGTCAGTCGGATAAAAAATTTTAACGAGGCAGCCATCATTGAATGGACACTCGCCTTCATATTTACTCTTTACGTTTATTCATTTTTCTTAGACCTTGTTCCGGCTGTCCGACGAGGTTCTAGAATCGCATGTGGAAGAGGCGTACATGGTGAAGTAGTTGGAATACGGATCGCTAATCGTCCGGGAGTTAATGCGCTAAAGATTAGACTTCAGGAGAATCTAGCACGTGATGATCAGGCTGAGACAGGGACGTTATAAGCTGTCGGGAGTGACGCCTGGTACGACGAAATAGTCATGGAATTGACGAATGGCAGAGTGGCTTGCTGGTTATGGTACATGGTTTTGTGACTAAGCTGTAACTTCAAATTAATTAGACTGAAGGAATCATGACATCGCGAGTGCTAGACGTAACCCTGATTTTGAGAGAGAGGGAGATGTATAATTATGGTACTAATTGAGTCTTTGGCTAAGTAATACATTGGGCTCCTCTCTGAACCAGGCCATACCCTGTACGTTTTTTTTAATCATTTAATGTGTATTCAGTTATAGAGCTATGACACATGACCGGTGCTATGTATACATGTTGGATGACTCTTTTGACGTTAGAGACACTCATACTCTGGATTTCATTCGCAAATACCACTATGAGGTATGCTTGCTTACACAAACAGTCGACCCTCCTCCGTTAGTACCTACCAAAGGGAATTTCAAAACCTTTGATTATCCAAGCATGCCTTCGTCATCCATGCATACCAGCGCTGCGAGATATGTGGTTGTGTTTTGCCGGATCTGAACCAGCGATCTACTGTCTCGAGTGGGATATGTGTCCAAGCTATCCAGAATCTACTTGGAAGACCGGCCAAGACGATGAACCACCGCACCATCCAACTATTGCGGTGTTTATAGTGTCGCCTACACTCTCGCAACCGAAGACTTGGCACGCACAAAGCTCAATTTGTAAAAACCCCTCGACAAAATTTGGTATTTTACGCCCGTCGGAACTGTATCCTTCCTTCGCAACATCTTGTGAACTTGTCCTGAATCCTCTCACGTCCATCCCAAAAAACAGTCTTCCAGGTTTGTGCGCCACGCTTTGCTTCCTCCATCGGGTGTAAATATCGGCCTGGGCGTGTATCTGGCGACCAGCTGAGGCCAGAGAAAGTCCATAGGAGCTGTGGTCATTGGAATGAAGATGTACTAGGTCGTACTTGTAGACTTGATGAGGCTTGGATAGGAATCGGACTCTTTGGGAGTAAAGATTTGACGTGGTGGAGTAGTTTGAATCATTGCCTCGTGGGCCAACTTGTTCGTTATTGCGAAATTTGAGTGAACTTGGCTCTGGGAGAACATTTCACTTCCAGATTCGTAGAGGACACCGCGTACAGGTGTTCAGTCTTGCCCTCCACCCTGTACATTGCTCTTATCTTCTTTTGTCACTTGAAAGATCATTGATGGATTTCCCGTGATGAATAGCCATTTAGCTTAGTGTTTACCCGCGGAGTTCGGCCAACTTCTCCACGGAACCTTCTATCCAAAAAAATGAAAAATGGTAGCAATGGAAACTACGTGCGCGGGAAAAAGTCTCAAAAAACCTACAGCCCCACCAAGTCTGGACCAGTCTCGGGCGAAAATCTCGTGACTGTCAGGCAGGCAAGCCATCGCAAATATGCTGCAGCAGTCCCAGCTAAAACATGTTGGAAATATCGCGGAATGAAATGGGCGCAATATTTATGAAACGAAAGTAGAATTTGACTAAAAGAGTGCCGGCAAAGACGAATTCTTCACCTTCCAATGGTGCCGCTGTAATTGCTCAGTATGCTCTGCATATCTGGGATAGCCAAGAAGAATCGCATCCGAATCGAAGTCCAAAGCAACCTCAAACACATCTCCATTTGACGACTTCTCGACAATGCCTCTCTCATCATTATCATCTGAGTCCTCAACCCATCTCTAACCATGCATCATCTAGCCTCAACGACCAATAAAGAATTTGCTCCAATTGCATACAGGAGCTTGCCCCATTAATTTCCAGCCATCTCTCACTATATATTTACGACGCTAATTATATCCGCAAGGAAGAAATCAAGTCGACAAATACAAAACTGGGTTCTACCTTATGGGGGACTTTCGCTCTCATTGAACCAACAACTTGAGGGATAACAGGCGCCTGAGAAGTGGAGCGAAAGGGGGAATAGGTCTCTGGAGAGCATGCTGGGACTGATATTTTCTAGGAGTTTTCAACTTTGGACTTTTTTTGGGCGCCAAGACCAAGATTTCGGCTAATTAGCCAGGAGGGCTTCTTTTGTCGATGAGTCAACGGCACTCCCCAGCGCCCTGGACGGCACAAAAGAAGCTAGGCTAAGCTACTATATAGCAATTACGCTCTATCAAGACTTTTCTGACATTTCACCACGACCTTTGGGAAGGAGTTGGAAGGAGGCTAGAAAGGCAGAGTGTGAATTCTCCGAGGTACCCACAAGTCTGCAGCGCCCAGCTGGCCGGCCTCTTCGAACGCTTCAGAAGGATCACTATGTCTTTGGATTTAGTCCTAATGTCGGTACCAGGAGAGCTCCGCACCCAGTGGTTTTTGCGATTTTTCCCAGCTGCGATACACCCGCAAATGGCCATCGTTTCGTTGGCTGGAGAGGGGAGACAATGAAGGGCAAAGGGCTCCTCTAAGTGTATGATCGAATGAGGACTTGTGAGGGGCGGTACTGTTTGAGGAGAGCTGTATGGGAGGCATAGGAGTGGATATACTACTGGCATAGGTATCCTTGGCCTGTAGGCAGAGAGGACCTGTATGTCCTATATAGTCATAGACTCAGACAGGACAATAAAATGAATTAATAATAACAGTAATAATGAATAAAAGACTGTCATGTTCGGACAACTGCTAAAAGAGTGTGAAATGTGCGCTACAAGTACAAGTGTAAGCGACACATAACCTAAGCCACTGTTACAGGCTGCGCCTATCTCCTAGTGACTGTCGCACGGACACTTATCATTATTACGTCATTAGCCTTGCTATCTAGAGAGATGTCCAACTTGGCCATACAAATACAGGGTTGCAACAAATATGGAAACAAGATATTGTTGCAGCAAGTCTCATATGGAATCATGGGCCGATACGACCCAGATTCGCTATGACGAGCCCACTCGGAATATCAAGGATATGATGTAGTAGAATAGATAGTGAGGTTAGCGCATTGGGAGTTGGGACACCTTAAGTAGCATCCCCTCGGTGGACAGTTCCGAGATGTATGTAGAAAATAGACAGTAATCGGCCACCATTCCTTTACTATATTGTTTTGTTGATCGCCCATCACAGCCACAGCATAATTGATTGTGGCACTATCTAGTCGTAGAGAAACCCCGATAAACTCCTTGTGCCCACGCCATACAGCCGCTCATGTATCCAATAGGTAGCCTAAAGCGCTACCACATTATTCATTCCAACCTCTTAAATACACACAAGATCGTGTCAAGAACCTAGGCGAAATGGAGGGCCCGTACGTCTACAACATTCCGTGTCTCCATTTCCAATAAAACAGCAGTTAGACGAGCAGAGGCAGCTTTGAAGCTGTCACTGAGATAGGAAAAATTAATCTTACTATAGTTCTAGTAATGGTTTTGAAGTCATAATGATGGATGTGACGCCAAATGTGACTGAGGTCACAGAGGCGACCATACCACAAATGTCTTCATAAATGGCGCCATACAGGCCCACTCCCATCTCTTTACTACTGTAAGTTTTATTTCAATAAACGTAGGTAGAGGTGGCCCGGTGCAGAACATCGCGCTTGCACAAGCACTCGAGCTAAGTATCGATGTAGCTCTAATCCAAGGACCTAAGTGGAAGGAAAAAGCGATTTCTTACCTGGGATATACTTGCCATCTATCTTATGGTGGAAAAGAGGTCATGTCAAGGACTGTGACATACACCCACAAGGATGATAGGCCAAAATATACAAGCCATCCTTTCCCCTACGATACGCTAACGAGTGACTATTTCTGAGTGGCTATTAATGGAATCACTGTTCTCAATGTGTACAAGGCACCTAACGATTCGTCATCTATTCAATCACTTGTCAACTAGACTCCTCCACCGAAGTCAGTCGTTACTGGCGATTTCAACTTGGTATACTGGGTCTGGCAATCTCAAGGAGCTATATAATTGGCGTTCCGTATTGTATAAATTATTAGACGTGCAGAGTGTAGTGGTGTTGGTAAAACACGAAGTAATACAAATTGGGTGCCATCACGAAGTCAGCTGTCCGTCACGAAGTCGGTGAATAATGTCAATTAACTGGTATCTCAATATACATAAAACGTTCTCTCTCTCTCTTTTCCTTCTCCCCCTATGCCCTTTCTTCCTCTACTCCAAGCGCCTCGCTAATGAGCTAAGTCAGATCCCTGTCAGTGTCCTAACAACAACCTGAATACCGCAAATACATAGAACAATTCACACTACCCAAATGTGATCCTTTTACCGATAAGTAGTAATTCCTATGGGGAAGAATCATGAAGGTATCGTAAGGTAAATTATTCACAGAAAAAGTTAAGGTAAATTTAGTAATAAACGAGGTTGGTACAACAATGGTCTTCTTAGGGAAGAGATAAGTATATGAGTATAAGGTACCAGTGTAAGCAGAAGACATTGCGTGAAGAATACTCCTTTACGCTGGGTATACATGAACATCAATCAATAGAACAGGCCATAAGATTTCTTTCGAACAGTTTTACTATGCAATTACTATGAAACGAGCCTACTTTCCTAAGCCTGTCCTACTGGTTTATGAACTCGATCAATTAGCTCATTCGGTTTTGGCATGAGACTCCCCACGAGATACCATCCTAGG